TCTTAATATCGGTAAACAGTACGTCTAGTTGAAACCGTCGTGGAATAAAAATAATAACAAAAGGATAAAAGCTATAGAAACATATTTCGTACAAATACAAAACAAAATTTGTAGCAGTTACCTTCCATTTGTTTTGGAAATAATATTAGAGTGCTAGAGCTTTACGTAGTCAAAATTAATTATAACCACGTTTAACTATTCGTATTCTCTCGGAAATCCTGTTTAAATGAATCTCTAGTAATATTTTAATTGTTTTTACAACAATAAGTATTATTTATTAAGAAATGGTTTTGATTCAACACAAATGAAAGGAAAGAAAGTTATTAAAATAAATAGGAGGATGCATAATATAAATTATTCGTGGAATACCTTACAAATATGAGCATTTTAAATCAACACTTACCACTTTAGAAGTTAGTAATAACGAATTTCGTCACAAAACGAACTTAGTAAAACCATTTAAATTTTTTATTTTAATTATTACTAATTAATTACGATTCTTTGTCGAATGTCAAAAACCATAACGGTATTCTTACATGATTCGATAAAATATTGAATCCAAAAAAAAAATGTAAAGAGGTGAAATAATATTGTAGAATAACAAAAATAAAAAATCTTCCAATCCACCCTTTCTGTGTGAAAAAGAAAGGTGGCTTGAAAATAAAGACCACGCATGTCTATGTGGATTCAAATACTGCAAAGTCATCTACACTAATGTAATGGTTGTGATGTCTTCGTCACGTCCATTCTTAGTTTATTTTACGACAAATATTACGTTTTTGCAAGAAAATGATTTAATAGACGTTGGAAATTAATAATTAATTACTAAGAATCCAATACTGCATTCCTTGTTTCAATGCCATCAAAACAAAGCCATCACTTTGATTTTTTTAAACACCATAAAAACCATCTAAATTGAGTTTAAAGGAGACCAATTAGAAGATTTCTTTTTTAAATTTATTAGCACTTAACTAGGAAACGCTTATGAAAGCAAATACTGTAATGGCTATCATTAGTGTTCTCAAAAAAGGGTATGGAAGATACATTTTTATTTTATTCTCTTACATTTTTAAGTGTATGACCGCACTTGAATAACAAGAACTAAATATATTACAAGATATTTCACAAGTTTAAGAAAACTTACATAATCACTTGTAATGCTAATAAATAGATTTACGGACAGAATAAATAAGTAAATGATATTGAAATTTTGGAAAGCATTGTTTAATTTTTTTTCTTAATATTTCTTTTTTTTATTTAAGTTATACCATACATTTTGAAGTTGTGGTGGCCTAGAGGTTAAAGGCTTGCAACTCGTGCATAAAAGTCGCGGATTCGAAACCTGATAAATAACAATGTGATTTTTTCTAAGTTATGTGTACTTTCTAAGAGTATTTAGATACCACGGACTGTCAGTTAAAGAAAACATAGATAGGAAATCTGGACTTATAATTTTAAATTATAGTTTTAAAACCTCCAATCTTCACTGACCAAGCGTGTTGATTAATGATTTAACGTTATTCATGTGAGAAGGAGCCTTTGCTCACATTGGGCATCAATAGGCTAGTGATGATGATTCATTTTGGGACGAATTTATTTATGACATACATTTTAAGTAGCAAATATTTTCTTTATACACTCTAAATAATAAAGATAAGTGCAATTAAAAATAATTATTATTTAATAATTACAATATTTCTAGATCCATTTATCTATAATAGATAAATGGATCTAGAAATATTTATGAACTCAAATAATAAGAATAATATATAAAATTAAAAGAAATATTTAAAAATAAAGTCGCTATAATATTATTACTCCAACATTATGAACTTCTTATTTACCATAATCGTTAAGTAAAACTGTACAACTATTTTTTTTTATGAAATGTCTGTTTTCTTTCTTATGGACGCTTTACTCTTAAGGAAGTTTAAAAATATAAGCAACGTATAAAAATGTCGGGTCTATGTATTATCATAAATTTAAATAGTTTCATACACTTCCTAGGACAGTGTAATAAGTGGACAAAGAATATTATGAAAATAGAGACTATTTGAATGAATCAAATCACACAGGAAACATTGTAATTGGCCCTCAATGTAATAATAATGACTGTTCAAATGTATGCTTAAAATTTTTAAGCCCTCAATATAGCCAATTTTATTAAAACATCCCTAATAAATTAAGGAGAAGTCGTAGAGTCTACGCAAAACATTTATTTACACGGGCGCAAGTGGCTGAATGGGCAGATCCCCGATAATTATTTTGTTTGTAGAAACTTAAGTCCTATGGGACCGCTGGATTTATGTATTGAAAACTTGAGTGTTTTGTTTTGATTTATGATTCAAATGAACTTTTACTAACTCAATTTTTAGAACTTTTATTGATTTCTCAGAGGTATCTGGCCTTTATAAATTAATCAAAGTAGTCAGTGAGCGTGTGTTAATTATTTGAGCAAAAGTGATGCATATCGGGACAAGTTAAATAGTTTTAAACTTTCTATACTTCAATAACATCTTTCTTTTTTAATCATTTTTTCGACACACTTTATTCTTATTTATAATAAAACGGTTCGTACTACTACAAACCGATATTAAATTAAGATTATTAATTGAGTCTTTAAGTGTAAGTCTATAAATTTATCACTTATAATAAAAGGTAATATTGTTGTGAAAAAACGAAATAAAACAACGCAACATGCTTTCAGAAAAGATTAAATATTTCGTTATTAATTATTTCTATATGTCACATTAAAAATCAAATAAAGGGTTTATTAAATGAAAATAAGAATTTGTTTTAACTAAAATTTTGTATGGGACAGTTTATTTTTATCATTGTATATTATTACAAAGTATGTATATCGATACAACGCGATTATTCACCCCTAGTTAAAATATCAATTAAGTGGAAAGAAATATGAACATAAGCTTCTATCTAGCGTACAGTGTATTCTCAATGAAACGAATCTTAATTTTAATATACTGTTTTAAGGTTCACAATCAAAGAAATTGACATTTTTAATATTGTTTGTCAAGACTTAAAACTTATTCTGGTTAATTTTGAGTTTTAAATATAACCATACCTCCCATGCAGCTTACCTGCCTTTGGCTTGAAACAATTTGTCTTTAGGCACTAAATGCACTTTTTGAATGTGACAATATTTAATACAAGAAATTCTTTGCAATCACCGTCACATTTAATATTAATTAGAGAAAGGATTTTTTTAAATAAGAAGAAAATAGGCACAATATTTATATATACATATATATTTAAATCTTCTATATTTCTGTTCTGCATGACTTTAAAAATAACATTAACATTATTTCAAATTTTAATTAAAAATTTTGAAGGCGAGTTTTAATCAAAACTTTGTCTTCAAAAGTTCTTTCTAAAGTGAAATGTAAAGTATGAAAGACAACTATTTATGACTTAGATATCCTGTCTCATTTTTATGTTATATTTAATATTTGCTGGACTATGTTTTCTATCTTGTGAAATCAAATCCGACGAAAATTAATTTGATTTTGACCTCCCGAGTTATTTTGTTATTAAAATGTCCGAGGAAATTGTTTTATAAATGAGATTCAAATTTATTATGACAATTTTGTATACAATATTCTTATACATTTGTGAAATTTGAAATATTTTTTATTATTAAATGTATACTTTTGTTCGATAGAAATATTTAAAAAAGTTCTTTTATCTCATAAAAATAAACACTGCTCGATAAGTTATCTAATCCTTTATTTAATTAGATTTCAAAAGCTATGTTCTGAGGATTTTCCTATACATAATAAGTTTCAGTATTTCTTATAACAAAGTCTAAATAAGTTAAATATTATTGTGTACTAGAAATACTATTTCAACTTAATTTGATAACTATAAAGTAATCAAGATGTTACATTCATCCTTCGTGTTAGTGTGACATTTCTGAGAAATCATTGAAAAGGTGGTCTTATACAGAATACAAAAAACTATTTAAACTGCTTACTATAGATTACCTTAATCCTTAAAATAAATATACATATATTGTTACAAAGTTTCTTTGTAATATTAAGTACAAAAAAGGTAAATCAATTCTTTATCTTTATTCTTTCTTAAAAATTACTTAAATAATATATAAATTTACATCACACTTTATATGCAATCAACAATGGGAGATTTCATGATAAGCAACTAAAATCCTATTTGAAATTTTTACTCCTAAAATAATTGACAAAAGGGATGTTATATGTATTTTTGGTAGTATTTTATTTATTTTTATTTGTTGCATTTAATTACAAAATACTGCAACTATTACTTTATTAAGATTTACTTTATTAAGACGATTGATTCGTGTGAAAATGTTTATAAGTGCTGTTCAATCGAACGCATTTCTCGTAATCTAAAGACGCAATGTTTATCGTACTCTTATTTCCTACTATTCTGGAACGACATAATAAAATGTTGTTAAGAATTAATATTATTATTTTATGCGAAATAACTTTCATTGGAAGAAAGGTGTTTATAACACTTGAGATTCTTTATTCCTTTTAAATGATAATTGTTTAAGTACTGAAGTTTTTTATTTTAATTAAAAACGCCATTATAAACCATTTCTTCTGAATTCAATTCTTTTTTTTCAACGTTATTTATTATGCATTAATATCTATATACATACTGTATACATAGTAGGTTCGTGATAGTTTGTATTGTGTTTCATAAGAAACCATTGACAAGAATAAGTCTTGAACATTTCCTGTCATTATTTTTCACAGTGCTCTTTAAAACGTTCCACTTGCTTCAACAGTGCTTACTACACCATTTTAATTCAATTTATTTCCAATCACAATAGTTTAATAAAAATGTTAAAGCAGTGTATTAAAATTTTATCTTTACTCATTATAGCGTGGGTAGTGACGTTATTTACTATTTACAAGGAGTATAAAACTGGCAATAAAATACTGAGTAATGAACAGTTGTATGAAAATAACTTAAAAAAATTTAAGTCACTAAATCTTATGGAGCCATTTAAACTAATGGGTTAGTTATTATTAATTATTTTATCTTGTAAAAAATTGGAAAATATGTAATTTAAGGCACAACTGTGAAGCAACGAGTAAAGTTCATAATTAATTCATGAATTAATTCCAATTATTTTCCTTTCTGAGAAAAAAATATTGGAATGTTTATTCTGAAATATCCGTAAAATTCTTTTAATTTAATTTAATTCCACCAGGTTGGGAATCTGTTGGTCCTATCAGTACCCATTTAACTTACAGAGATCGTATTACTGCTATAAAGAATAGGGAATTTCCACTTGGTAAGAAACAAATATTATGATTAACAAATTTAGTTTAAAAATTAGTAAGGTTTGCAATATGATTATTTGATTTTTCTGTATGGTTCTTAAACATATAAGTTGAGTTGAGGCATAATTTTAAATTTGGTTACTGGTGTTTTTAACTTTGTTGAACTAATCCCTTTAAAACTATAGAATTTATATAATATAATAACATATAATTTCTAGGTAAGTTTGGAAAACCAGTTTTCATGGCTAATTCTATCAAAGGTACTTTGAGACTGATCATAAAAAAAGGCTGGAAAGAAAATGCTTTCAATCAATTTGTTAGTGATTTGATACCCATAGACCGTCCTTTGCTGGATTTCCGAGATAAATGGTAGGATTTTTTGTAATCATTTGTGAATTCACCATTTCAGTTTAAATCAGAGAGCAGTTTCGTTATCAAAGAATAAAGGTTTATTTACATTATAATCGGTTTCCTGTTTTAAATTACAGATTTATTGAATTTAATTTTAGGTGTCTGGAGAGATATTCATCAAAATTATTACCAGAAGTGTCGGTGGTAATATGTTTTTTCAATGAGGCTTGGTCTACCCTTCTCAGAACGCTTCATTCAGTTTTAAACAGATCGCCCCCGCATCTATTGAGAGAGGTCCTATTGATTGATGATTTTTCTGACATGGGTATATCGGACACTTATTTCCGCTATTATTACTTTATACAGTTGCATTATTTAGTAAAATTATTGAATTTTTATATACTAGCTATGGTTAAAGAAAAATAAAATTTGAATCTTTTTCCAGATCATCTTAAAGTTCGTTTAGAAAATTATACTCGAAACTTCCCCAAAGTTAATTTAATACGAACTTCACAAAGAGAGGGATTAATAAGAGCACGAATCGTTGGTGCTAAAAAGGCATCTGCCCCTGTTATAGTTTTTCTCGACAGTCATTGTGAATGTACTAACGGTAAACAGTTTTAAAATACAAATATGTTTTATCAACAGTTAAAAGCATAAACATATATACTTATGTATATGCTAAATATATAACATTAAGTGATTATTTAAAATTAATCAAAAGTAAATTTTATGTTAACAATAATAACATTTTGTTTTAATAGGTTGGTTGGAACCTTTATTAGAACGCTTGGTTGAAAATCCAAAAATAGTTGCAAGTCCAGTTATTGATCATATCGACCCAAACACATTTGAATATATTTCTCAAAATCCAAAAGACATTTATATTGGAGGTTTTAACTGGAATTTAAAATTTATATGGAGATCAATACCGACAGATTACAAAAGAGAACATTTTCTGTTACCAATCAAAACACCTACTATAGCAGGGGGCTTATTTGCCATAGATAAGGAGTTTTTTTACTGTATAGGATATTATGATGAGGGTTTTGATGTATGGGGAGGGGAGAACTTAGAATTGTCATTCAAGGTGTGGATGTGTGGGGGCTCTTTGGAAATCGTTCCTTGTTCTCATGTGGGACATATTTTTAGGGCAAATTTTCCTTATTACACTTCGGGAGAATCATTTAAACGAAATGCTGCGCGATTGGCTGAGGTAAGTGGAAAAGGTTTTTTTTTATATCCTTTTTATATTAATTATCTATAAATTTATAAAACATATGAAAATCTGATTAATTATAATACACGAATAAAATATTATATATATATATATATATATATATATATATTACATATATGGTTTTCGTTTCATTTGTTAGGTTTGGCTAGATGATTATGCAAAATATTTCTACGAGAGAATCGGTAATGCGGAGGTTAGTTTTGGCGATGTTACCGCACAAAAAGAATTAAGAAAGAAGTTAAAATGCAAATCATTTAATTGGTATCTACGTAATATTTATCCTGAAAAGAAAATACCGAAAAGTAACGTAGCTAGTGGACAGGTAAATAAATATGCCATGGGTTATGTACATTCAGGTTGTTCTGTTTATTTTTATTTTTTTCCACGACTTTTAAAACTTATGTGTCAAAAAATGATCATGTAAAAATTACAAATATATTTTGGGATTCCATACAAATATATAATTTGATTATATAAATACTTGTTAATTTTTAATTCAGCTCAGCTTTTTTATCCAGGTTCTGAAAAGGTTTTAAGAAAAAATCTATATATTTCTTATTAGTTAATATAAGCATTTTTGTAATGTAGCCATTTTTACAGTCCCAAGCCATATTAAATAAATGAAGTGCACAGTTTTTAAACCAATATTTTAAAAAAGCTTTTTTCTTTTATAATAATTAAGCAATTGGAAGAGTTCAATTAAATATATTTTTCATTAATATGGAGTTATATAAAAAAATACCTTCAAATCACTTACAACTTACTTGTAACTTAATTACTTCACTTAATACTTTATATCGTGTTTGTTATTAATTAATTATTCTTATTATTAAATATTTTTTTCTAAATATATAGATTTACAATATTGGGAATATAGCTGTTTGTCTTGATGCTTCTGTTGCACCTCCACAAGTCACGGGCTTAATTCATGTTATGCCCTGTCATGGTCAGGGAGGAGCTCAGGTAAATAATTTACTTTATATTTTGTTATAAGCTATACACTAAAAGTTATTAAGACAGTGTACTAATATTTATGTTATTTACTCTATATATGTTTCAGTTTTGGGAGTATACCAAAGATGGAAAAATTCAACATGAAGACTATTGCCTTGATTATCTTTTTGGGTTAATTACTCTTTTCTCATGCCGCGATCGAGCTGTGACACAAGTTTGGCTGTATGAAACAAAGGTAAGACTTATTATTATCCTGTTAAAGAAAAGAATAACAGAATAATCAAATATTTTTGTCTAATATAAATTTATCTTTAATCCAAACATCTTGAACTATAAAGTTTTTAATATACAATTAACATTATTTTCAAAATACCCATTTATAATTTATTTTTAGACGAAATTTATTCAACACATACAGACACAACAATGTATTAAAATATTTAAAGATCAAAATGAACTTACCCTCAAACTGGTGGAATGTATGAATGATACAACACAAGTTTGGAGTATGGAAAATTATAACATTGAGAATTTACAACCTGAACTACAAATATATGCCAAGACTGATAATTAAAAGAAATTTTATTTAAAATCTGTATTTTATATAAATAAAATAGAAAAAGATCCTAAAGTTTTCATATTATTGTTTCATTGCTAAACTTATTATTAATATTTATGAACATATTAAGGCATGGTTTGTGTTGCTTTTGCCTTGTTCTTTTTATAAGCAGCTGACGGCCTGTCTGTTTATACGTCGTCTATGCAGCCTATGGACGCCTTTTTCCAGGGCATCACACACTATGTCTACCCTTCAAATATCAGTTCACTTTTCCAGGAATGAACCTCTTACTTAATCCCTCGGGAAAGTGAGGGAGGAAGTTTATACCATAACTAGGGTGTTTTTTTTAGAAGAACATTCCTCGGAAACAGCACTGTGCGCGGCTGCGCGACTATTGGGGAATCAAGATATGAGTATGAATTTCACTAGAAATGTTCAGAATTTGATATTAATATTCCATTTTTTCAGCATGCGTATTGTTAAGTACGTTAATTCCAAATACTTGAAATAAGGGGAGTGGCCTCCATTTTGAGGTATAAAGAAAAGTTTCCATATAAAAACATTTAGAATTCAACTGTAGCGTAGATCTTCTGAACAAAAATGGTCTAACAACGTATTTACAACATTTTCTTACTCTGGTCGTATAGCGTTTGTTTGTTTATAAAAACACATAGTAAAAAAAATATTTTGGTAGTAATAGCATGACTGATTAAGTGCAATGAAAATATGTTATATCAACCACAAATATAGGCTTCAATTAATTTTAGTTTCAAAATGTGATACTGGTCGAGATCACGGTTGTTGTAAAGTAGCCAAAACGTCGGGAGTATGTAATTTATAGTCAAAAATAAGAAATCGCGTAGTAAATCCGAAAATATTAGTTTCATTTCAATGAGTACTCGCGAAAAATCTTAGATCTCGTTATTTGAAAAAAAATACTTTTAAAATTCAGGTTAAAAGTTGTTAAAATAAATTAATTAAGGGTCACAGTCAAAATTTCTTAACATGCTGTAAGTATCCATGAAAACTTCAACCTCTGTAAGGACAAACAACTTACCTTTCCGTATAAAATATTGAAAATCCATTTTATTGAACACAAGGACAAAACAATATTTCTATATGTGATTTTATCTTCAATTGTTTTTAATAAATTTAATAATGCATTTTAAGGTATTTGGAAATTTTCTAGATTTTTAGTGAAATATAATAGTTACAAAACTTATCCTAGATAAGTTTTATCCTCTAAATATTATGACAAAATCGTGTCGGATTCTACAAACCTTATAGTTAGTTCTGAGGGTAAGTTCCTACATTGTGCTTCAAGAGTGAAGTTAAAAATGCAGAACCTTTTTACTGAAGTAAACATCTCTTATGACTGCACCGAGGTAGTTTAAGTGTATGAAAGCTGTTCGTGCACCATGTGCCTCTTGTGTCATGAGAACACTCTATATGTTGCAGTGGTTTGAACTATTTAGCAAGATATTATAGGTTTTACGTTCGACGGCACAGAAAAATACTAAATGAAGGATAATAAAATTATAAAGACGAATTCGTACATTACATAATCTGTGTTATACTGGTTTAAAAAAACGTTATTATAAAAGTATCAATTTAAATTTCTTTCCATAACATATCATTTCTTTCCAAACATAACTAAAATATGGAATGAAATGGAATATATATATATTATTATTATTAAAATTTGAACTTGTTACACTAAAAGGATATACTTCAATGTCACTATTTATATATTTAAGTCTAACAAAACAGTTCATCTCACTCCAATACGTTTATTTTATTTTGTATTGGTAGGATATTTATTTTCATAACTAAGAATGCGAGTGTTATCCAAGATAATGTCTTTTTCCTTTTCTCTTTTCTATATCCAAAGACATGTTGAGCAGTAATGACAGTTTAAGAAATATGTTTTCCTTAAACGAAAGCCTCGATTATATTTTAGCAATTTTATTAAAACTTTAACTGGATCTTTTTTAACTATCCTGCCTATTTACCTTCCATTTTTTTAATAATATTTCAATTTTTAAATACTGTTTAAAAACTTCATTCCCTTTCGCGGCCTCTTCTTTCTTTCTCTATCATTCCATACAAAACAATTGTATTGAACGGACTGAAAGTTGAGTAGCAATTTATTTGCGTTCTCATATTCCTATATTATTATAAATGTGTCTCGACGTATATATAATATACGTCTAAAGTAAAATAATTTTATCACATACTAACAATATTTTACGTGTTTGCTAGAGCATTAATCTTTAAAAGAAAAATCTTTTAAAAGGTAGATATACATCTTACAAAATATTATATATTATACCTTTACTTCTTGATAATAAGTCCAAATAATTAAATAAATAAACATTAAAATGTTTCAGTAAAAATTTAAAGATATTCAAATAAAAAAGTCTAAAAATAACATAATCGCTGTCGGATTTCCACTAAACTTTATGTTCTGATACGACTCATAAACTATAAGCATTACTATATGGGATAGTAAGATAAACACCTTTACTATAAATGCATTAAAAGCTTAACGGTTGCGAGTATTACATTATTATTATTATTATTAATAAAATAAAATAATTGACCAATTGAAGATTTTAAAATTAAAGACACAATTATGCTTACACTAACGATAATTATTATTATTATCATACAGTTATTTTGTTTCAGTGCTATTACGACTACAATCTGTATGTATAAAATGAAGATGAGATAAAAGATTTTCTTATTAACAAATAATGGCAGCTTAAATGTAGATAGTAATCTATACATATAATAAAATTGTAGAAAAGTGCTGTCTGTACATTGAAAATAAAAATAAAAAAATAGCAGGGGTTATTGTTATGTCGATGTCGAACCCAAAAATGTAATTAACTTTTTTTTCTCTGGTTGTCTGTTTGTCTGTTCACGCTAATCTCAGAAAAGGCTGATCAGAGTTGGATGCGGTTATCACGAATACATTGCGGTATGCTTCAGTTATGCTTTAGTGTTTGTTTCATGTCAATCGGTTCATAAATAAAAAAGTTATGTCAAATTAAAGAACTGAAGAACTGCGTTCAATATTCGACCGGGTGTGTCAATTGTATGTGGCTCTGTCCCGTCTTAGCAATCCCAGCAGCCTGTATGCTTTCACCCCCGATGGCTATACGTCTAATATTGTATATAGAGAAGCATTACAGTAAAGTAGGTTTTTTAGCTACCCAAAATGACTGTGATTATGATCCAAAATAAAAATAAGTATATATTTAAAAAAAAACGCTGCTCATAGTCACTATTCCACGCGAACGAAGTCGCAGGCACAGCTAGTAAATAATATATTTGTTCAATACATCCCGTTATTACGATACAAATCTGATATCAATAATTACATCTCACTCACGACTACTTCCATTAAGTACCTTTAAGTTATTACTTAATTATATCCCCTTACTTATTAGTAGGGGGATATATGTAATTAAGTTATAAACGTTTTATATACATTAATATTATTATTTTTTTGTACTTATTCAATATACGTCAAAAATGCGCTTAACGACTCTTAAATTATTTGGTTGGTATTAATATTGATTGGTACCAGTGCATACATATACAATAAAACATGTGCTACCAGGAACCCGATAGCTAAACAAAATTAATCATCTTATATTTTATACGTATTAATTAACCCAGAGAAGAGTTTTATTATGTGAGGGAAATAAGTGCAAATTTCCCTAGAATTATTGCCTAGAAAAGATACGTTTCAAACAAGAAAAATGGAATTGTTAAAGAAGTTAACAAACTAAAATTAATCACATAGGAACGATGAGCAAAGTTAATACGCAGTCAGATAAACTGTTTTGAACTTTCTAAGAGGCAGTTCTCATGGTAAATTAAACATGGAAATAAAACAGATGTCATCTATAAAAAAAAACATTAACTTTAATTTTAAAATCAATAATTAAATTAAATTTCATTTGCTTCTATAAATTATTTTATTTTAATTTTAAAGCATAAAAAAATACGGACCGAATGCAGTCTTACCTCTAGTTTTTAAGTAAACATGACCAGTGGCCATTGACCTTTCTCAATAGTTCCTTAAGTTAAGTAATGTTATCATTATTCATCCACCTACATCTTTAAATCATTAATAATTTAATATTTTGTATATAAATAACAATCAAATGTCTATTCTGATCAGTTTTAAGGCTGTTCGTAATTTGTTACTTCAATTGTTGACTGTTATATAATGTAATATTATATAATGTAAATTGTAAAATGCTGATATCTACTATTTGAAATACATGTAAAATTTTAATAAAAAGGGACTTTTAATAAATTCTTGAATATAAAATATTGTATTTAAAATAAAGTTCTGAAGTTATTTCAAATATTACTTGACGTACATTATAAAAATGTTGTTCCCAAAACAATATAATAAGTATACAATATAAGCTAATACATACTCGTATATACAATCTTTATAAAAAAACACAAACGGAACAAAGTATTGAATATTTGCTATCATTGTAATATATTTAAACAATGTTATTTCCATAAAATGGTAGGTTTACAAATCAGCTCAATACTTTGTATGCCTTTGTTACAACACAATCGGTTTTATTGCCTTTATACTGAAATAGTGTACAAATAACTGACGCACATTTGTAAGTTTTGGATTTCAAACAAGTAACGTTATAGGCAAGACTTTTTATACATATAACACTACACTATAACTGTTTATAAATTAAATTCATTCAAAGGAAATTTAGGACTGATAGTGACGTTTGTGAGATTATGTTATTATTGACAGTTTCGTGTATCCCTAGTTTCTTTACAAAATATACTCAATATATACGTATTAGCCAGTGGTGGCTTAGTGATTAGAGGGCCCGCCTCTCGTATCCGAGGGCGCGGGTTCGATCCTGGCAAGTACTAATGTGATTTTTCTGAGTCATATGTACTTTCTAAGAGTATTTAGACAACATTGACAGACGGTAAAGGAAAACATCGTGACCTGG